ACAGCCCAGGTATACAAGCATGAAAATACTTTGTGCACTGCAAAAGATGCTAGTTTCAGGATTAGATATCTTGCATTGGAGTGGAAACTGGAACTTTTCCTTCCTTCTTTCACTAATAAATAACCCGCAGTCACCAGGCCCCTGCTGAAAAGTTTTCCTGTACTCCAATCTCCTGCCACAGCTGGCAGCTTCAGATGGTTTATTAAACATCTCTTACAAGCTATTCAACATTGCCTTGGTCCACAATATACACCATGTCAACCTGCAAACAGGAAAGTCCCTTAAAGCCACCAAGTGCAGTGCAGAGAGCAGGAAAGGCTAAGGTCTTTGGTGTTAACACAGAATGTGTTAAGGAAAAATGACTAGGTAGTAAATAATTGTTTAGACACAGAAAGACATGACCTACTGAAACACTTGCTCATGTGGTTCTCTCTTTAGGCTGCACCTTTTTTTTCCACAGTTCCTGAGGGTTGATCTGTCCTGTCTGCTGACTCTGACTGGCAGCAGCTTTAGGTGAGCAAAAGACAAATTAAAAAAAAAAGAAATATCCAAATGTTAAAACTGAAATAAACTTATATACAAAATAATCCATTAAGTTTTGTCAGGGAAATATTTGGTTATAGTTTGCTTTGTGTCAAAGTAAATAAGTAAACCCTTTGCAAAACAACTGTTCATAGTTATTGCTGGACTGAAGAAAAAACTTTACAAAACACATACTGATAAAAATTAAACTGTTAATTTAACACTTGAGTACAGTAGACTCCCAGGCCTTTACTTCTTTCTAACATCTAGTTGTTTGGCTTTCTTCACTGTGGCAATTTTTTTGCTCTTTGCTTTTTCCAGTGACATAGGAATTCCTGACAAGAGCCTGGGAGCCTGCCTGACTAGTGTATGCCTATCTCTTAATTGTTTCCTGCCCTCCAAATGAGGCCAGAGACTTGGGGCTGGGGGAAGGGAAATTGGAAAAAAGTATAGAAACCTCACACTACTAAGGTCTTATTACTGGGGCAAGAAAAAACCCTGATCCTTCCCTTAAGAATTTGTGGATGTTTTTTTAATTTACTTGTAAAGAGCTAAAACTTCATGTTTTTTCTTGTGAGAGCTGGGATTCTCATGTAATTTTAGGAATTCTGGACCTGAGTTGTCAGAAATAACACTGAATATGGAAAAATTTAAACCAGTAGTGTTACGAGCTCCCGAGACCCTTGATGTTTCCCCTACTGCTCTTAAAAACAAGATGTGGTAATATCAGAATTTAACCTCTCAAGTTGTCCTTCACCCAAAGAAATCTTTCTAGTTGCAGACAGAGGTTAAAAAAACATAACCCGAGTACATACAAAGTTCTTAATTTCCGAAGGACAAATTTGACAGACCACCTATGTTACTTTATAGCTAATAATTTAGGGGCAAAACTTATGTGTTCTGAATGTCCACAATGGACAATATAGAAGCTCTTGAAAGCTGGCAGTTCCTTAATATTTGCCAACATTAGGCTCCTAAGAGGAAGGCTTCCCTAGAGTTAAAATTCTTATCCTAGAAAACTGCTTCTGGAACCCAGCTAATGACATAGGTACTGCTGTATTTGTATTATCTGTACTTACAAGATTTGCAAGTTATTGCTGAGCATGGTATCCATCTTATGAAAGCCAAACAGATGGAAGATCCATGCTGTACTCTGTTAAAGAGTGAAGTGCAGTGAAGGAGCTCCAAGGGGTCTGATGACACCCAGGCATGACCGTGGAGGAGCCAACAGTGTTGCAGGCAGCACAGCAAACAGCATGTGTTTTTTAAAAAAAGGCAATCCACCAAAATAAACCCAAACAGTGATGCGTAAAAGCATCATCCCCTTCCCTGAATTGTGAGTTCTGCTCTGATCTCTTCATGTAGCATCTGTCCTTACAGGAAAGTGGCATATTGCAGTTCTGCAATAAAGATATGGGGGGTGGTGACTCTGTGTGGTGGAAGTGCAGTGCTGCAGTACTCACTGTGGCTCAGGCATGTGACAGCTGTGTTAGCATTGCTGTCCCCTGGCCACCTGGCCCTAGCACTGGAAAGGTGGGGCTCAGGCAGGTACCTCCAGCACCAGCACGGGGGCTTTGCTTGACCTGTGGAGGGCTAGGCATGTATAGCATGGGACTTTAAACCACCAGCCATCTATTCCCAGAATGGTGATTTCACAGAATCATTTGGGTTGGAAAAGACCTCTGAGATCATTGAGTCCTTCCTTTGACCGAGCTCCACCTTGTAAATTAGACCACAGCACTTCCTGGGGTACACAATTCCAATGTCTAATCACTTTTTCTGTGAAGAAATTCTTCTTAATGCCCAACTTAAACCTCCCCTGATGTAAATTAAGACTATGTCCTGTCATCCTACTGTTAGTTGCCTGGGAGAAGAGGCTGACCACCCCCTTCTTTAAGGTAGTTGAAGACACTGATGACATCACTCCTGAGCCTCCTCTTCTCCAGGTTAACCAACCCCAGCTTCCTCAGCCACTCCTCATCAGACTTGTGCTCCAGACACTTCACCAATGGCATTGCCCTTCTCTGGACTTCTTCCTAGGTTTCTTGTCATGCTCTGGCTGTTCCTCTTTAGCAAATCAGAGACATAAACATGGCACCTGAGCCTGCTAAAGGCTATGGCCAAGCTTGCATGCGCTACAGAAAGAGCAGAGGGAAGATATGAACCTGTCGCAATGTTACTGTCATTCTCCCTAAATCTGTTCTCTGTACATGTGGAATTGGCAGGTGGGGTGAAGCACCTCCAGACCAAACGTGCTAATTGCAATGAGTTTGACTTTGCACTTCTCTTTCCTGATTCTTCACAAGCATCCTTATGGGGGTCTGTAAGCTTCCTGCAGCAGGGTTTGTGTGCGTACAGTGCCTGCCACCAGGAGATCTCCTCCCACTGAACTACTGGGCATACTATAACGTAAGAGTAAATAGAAATAGCAATCAAAGCATCAGCAATAAAAGAAAAAATTAGATTAACTGCAACAAAGTACTTTCATGGATGCTCAGTGATATTTTATGGGGCTCTCAGGACTTGCATATCCTCCAAGTCTTTATAAATACCTGAGAGCAAATACTAACATTTTGGAGAATACTGACATACTTGACATTTTCAAAAGGCCAGGATCTATTTTATAATTCTCGGGAATTTCAAATAATTTCCTTTAAGCTGTTCACAGTTGAAGGAAGGAGGAGGAGGAGGAGGAGGAGGTGCGGGCCGCTGCGGGCTGCCCGCCGACAGCTGCGGGACAGTGCCGGCTGCGGGACAGCGCTGGCTAAGGGACAGCGCTGGCTGAGGGACAGTGCCTGCTGCGGGACAGCGCCGGCTGCGGGACAGCGCCGGCTAAGGGACACTGCGGGCTGAGGGACACTGCGGGCTGAGGGACAGTGCTGGCTGAGGGACACTGCCGGCTGCGGGCAAGGGCGGATTGCGGCGGGGCTGCGCGCAGCCCTCTGGTCTCCCGGCGTCTGCTCCGGAGGGGTCCGCGCTGTTTTTCACGCGGCTCTGCTGCTGTGGCAGGGACGTGTGTGATGTGTGTGTGTGTGATGCCTGCTCCACAGTGCCCGTCCGCCCCCATACTCCTCCGCCGTCGGGCAGCACCAGTGTCGGGGGTCCTGCCGCGAGTTTGGTTTGGGTACGAACGAGTTGAGGCCCGTCGATGCGGGCAGGTTTCTGTCAGATGCGCTCCACCGCCGTTTGGTAACGGGTACGGCTGGGGGCTGGGTCCTGGTATAGTCACGGAATTATCACAGAACGGTTTGGCCAGGAAGAGACCTTTAAAGGCCCCCTAATCCAACCCCCAGCAATGGGCAGGGACAACTTCAACTACGCCTGGTTGCTCAGAGTCCCGTCCAGCCTGACATGAATGCTGTCAGGGATGGAGTGTCCACACCTGTTTGGAGTGTTCTATAAATGTCCTTCCTCTGGGAGCCTTGTTCCCCAGGACGAGCCCGTAGCCAGCTTGTCCCCTGGTGGCACAGCCGCTGCTGTGGGTCATGGCTGGACTCACCCCTCCGGCTCCTGGGCTGCTGCAGACAAAAGAGTGAGACTGAGAGGAGGCTGGGAGAGCTGCCCTGCTGCTCCTCAGCTTCTAGGGGCCTGATCCTGCTTCCACGAGAGTCACAGATAGTTTCTGTACCGACTTTGGCTGGGGATTGGCTCCAGTCCCGCATCACATAATCTTCTGAAGTGAGCTGTGGCTGTGCATGGCTGGGCTATAAGGCATCTGCATTTCCTCTTTCCCATTGTGGGGTGAATGGAACAATTAGCATTTGTGCATTAAAATGAAATAAAATCTCATGACTGCCATCTCTCTGTTTGCTATATTTGAGCTGGTTGGAGGATTGTTTAAATATATCTCATGGACAGTTTACAACATGAATTATTTCCTGCCTTTGAAAAGCCATGGTTTTAAGATATCTGGCAAGTTTATTACAATGAAATGTCACATTCCTCAAACAAGTCATCAAAAGAACAATTTTTAGCAAAGACTGGTTTCCAGCATTCACCATTCAGAAATGTTGCGGAGTGTGATCTTGGTTTAAATAAAATAAATAGAAAAAGCCTGCGTGTTTGATCTGCCCAGCATTCCTGGGTGTTCCAAGCAAGATTCCTACTCTCTAGCTGAGGTTCTAAGGGTTTTTTTCCTTAGAACCCCTGCACTTGTGACTAAGCTACTACCCCAAGTTGCTCTCAGTTGGGTATCTAAAGCAGCTGTTGTGAATGCCCCCTGTGAAAGTGTGGAATCCCTCTCACTTTGTAGCATATATAATGGTTTCACTGAATACTGTGTAATATGTATCAAAATGTTGGGGGGTGGGGTAGCAAGAATGGGTTAAAAGCACTAAAAAAAGTACATTTAGAATTGTGGTCCCATGTTGTGGTCTTATAAAATTTTAAGTATTGTTTTTTTTCTGTGAATGAAAACATTTTTGATGTTTTAATTTGTTCTCATCTTTTTTTTTTCTTTGTTTTTTTTCTTCCCTACTCAGCTCTTGCCCCTGTTCTTTGCCTCTGGTTTTGTTGGTGAGGATATCACAGTGATGTCTGCATTCAACCTGCTGCATTTGGTGACAAAGAGCCAGCCAGTGGCCCTGCGAGCCTGTGGGCTTCCCTCAGGTTGAATGGGTGCTGCTTGTTGTGTCATGCATAATAAAGGCCCTTGTAGGAAGGGGTGTCTCTGCTGCAGGAAACAATGTGCTATGGGTTGTTCTGTTCAAATTTTCCTTTGAAGCAGAAGTTTATTTGCACTTTTTTTTTTTTTGGTAAAAATCATTGAGTTGAGTGAGCGATTTCATACCCAAGATTTTAAAAAGCTTGGAAATGCTGACTTCCTTGTCCAAAATACAGTCTCTTAAATTTTGTATTATTTTTCTCATTGTTGGCAAAAACTGTGTCATTAAACTGAAAATATTTTATTAAATGCCATTCCTAATTTTAAAAGATAATACCTAAAAGAATTTCACTTGTTGATTGCTATTAAATCATAGGACTTAAAATATTTTCCAAAATATTTAGCAGTATACTATATACTATACTCCATGTGTTTCTTTTTACATTTTTATTATAAATCAAGTATGTTTTACTGAAAATCATGTACAAAAAGCGTGCAGAATTTAAAACTTAATTCTTTCATTCCTCTGACAACATATTCTTTAGTTACGTGGCACTTCTCTACATAACTAAATGCAAACATGCAATTTAATGCCCACATGCAGCTGCACGTTTCATGTAAGGCCCAGGTTTGTCTGCTAGGTTTGGGAAGGGTGCTATAAGACCCTATCTCCATAAATTAATTTTATCATCAAAACTTTGAGCTTAAGTATTTTGTGTTTCACTTAAAAGGCAACAATCTGTAATGTCAGCATAACAATGTCAGTGTACAGGGTTATGTGGGAGAAAATATAAGCTGTACTGAGGTAATTTTGAACCTTGCTAGAAATTTTCTTGATGCCCAAATAAAAAAAGATACAGTCCTGGCTGATCTGTGTTAAGCCTTGAAAATGGGCCAGTTTGGGCATTTGTGCTACACTCACAACTGGTTCATAAGAGTGCAGAATGTTACAAGCAGTTTCTCCCAGATCTGGACTTAGCAAGCATATGGAGGTGATGTTTTAAAGATTTTTTTTCAGTGATAAGACATCAGTTTTCAAGCTGATGGATTTTCCTAAGGCTTATTAGACTTTATTTGAACTAAATCTGAGTCCAATTTTTGCAGCATTTACATTCCATTTCCCCCACATGTGCACAAAACTCCCATTAACCTTGATAGGAACTGGAAACACATATTGAGGAAGAGAGAGAATAACCCACATTGTGTCAGCTTGACCTTGGTTTCCTGTTGTATTTGCTGCTGAGCCAGATTTAAAATCCTAAAAATATAGGGTAAGCAAATTTCCTTAGCCCTCATTATGCACCTTTTGATGTGTGCTCATATTGCTCTTGTCTACCTGAACATGGGCACACTCAATCTTCTGGCCATTTTGTTTCCACTCTGAAAAAGAGATCTGCAAGCTGATCATCTAGGAACACACAGATCCCACGGGAGCTTTTGCTGTTCTGTACCTGTTTTCAAAGCACTGCATTAGCTGTTTTATCAAGTTGTTTTTCTGTCATAATCCAGTAGTCACATTTTGGAATAAAAAGTTAACACTACTGTTTATTCCCATCCCTTAGATCCCTAACTGTGGGACCATTGATAGATTGAGTTCCACTGACTGACTACTTTATAGAGATATATATAGAGAGATATTTATATATAATAAACCCAAATTCATCTGCCAACAGCGGAATAATATACAATCACATATCTCACATATTTTAAGAGTAATCTAAATTACCCAGTTGCTTAAAAATTAATATGGGCTTGCTTTGACTTTCATTTGGTTTTTGGTTTTTTTGGGGTTATTTTGTCTGTGGTGTATTTAAGGGGTTGCAAGTAAGTGGCATAGCATGTATCCAATAAAACATGGAAAGGAAATGTAGAACCAAGATCTGCTTAAACGCCACAATGCCCTGTGACTTTGGCTTCTGAATATACAGAAAACACCCAAATTCTCCTGAGTTTGTATAACATAACACTTTGAGCTAGTACTTTTCCCACCATCCAGTTCTGTGTGAATTGCAGTCCTGTAACCATACCACCATACCATGTGTCCACCAAGTCTGGGACCATGTGGAGCTTGGCCACCTTCTAATTCAGTGGCAAATTCAATATGGAATGAGACTTTTTAACCTTCTGGAACCCATGCTCAGAGTAAGGAAGCAAAATGCCATCAGAGCAGTAAACTGGGTTCTCAAACAATGTTTTAAACACTATGCAGTTAAATATTTGCTGGACAAGGACTTGAATGAAAGTATTGTTTCAATTTCTATGCTTGAAATGGTACCTCTATCCTTCCTGTAAGGAACAAAGTAACACAAAGCAATATATAATTTCTATTTAATATATAGTTGTAGATCAGAAACAAGAGATTTTTTTTTCTCCTCCCCCTTAAATTAATTAAATACTACTGGGACATATCTTAGAATAGAGATGACCTGTCCCTTCTTTGAACTACTATTTTGTAAGCACTTGTGAGTTTTACTTGTAGTGGTCAAGTGTTTTTACTTGTTCTTTTTCTGTTTGTATATTAGCACCTGGAGTGTAGATCTGTTCTTCCAAATTATATTTTTAAAATATTTTTTTTGTCTGAAGTTAGGACTAAACGTTTCAATGTGTGCACACCTAGTGCACTGTTTTCCCATAACATTTTTTGTAGAGAAGATGGCAACTCTGAGCAGGAGCAGAAGCTCCCAGTAGATGGCACTAGGCATTTGCTGTTCTGCACACCCAGGACTATCTAAAAAGCTTCCCGTCTAGGAGTCATCCGTACAGAAAGTACACTCTGAGAACTTGGGAGCACTTACAATTATTTTAAGAAAAGCAAGAATACTGGGAAAAAACCAAAATCTTTGCCCGTGTGCAAACTACCATCACATTGGTTCAAGGTTTCTTCATTGTCAGTGATGACTACAGCTCCATTGTGTCTGTTGTGTAACACAGAAGTATTCCTTGAGCCCACTTTATTAGAGTTGAATGTTCTGAGTTTCTTTGGAAATGTAGGATCCACTCAGTACCTGCCAGGATTTAATTCACAGAAATTAAATATTTTTAAAAACCCACTTCAAAATTACAACAATCCCCACCAAACTTTTAATGCAAAAACTACTTCATCTGCTTTATGCATATTAAGAAGCAACTGATACAAGTCATGATTATGCAGATTCCATGTACATATGTTTTCTGAAGCAGACCACCAAGCTATAACCTAAAAAGATAGCTTATATTGCTTTGCTGTGTCTTTTAATTATTATGGGTTCTCATAGCTTAAGAAGACCCTTTAATTTCTTTAACACTTTGAATGTTGTGCTGCTTACATCACATTTTTTGCATGTGATAAATTGGATTTTCCTCTCCTGTAGATCAAAGAAAATTATGGTGCTTGTAAAATTAAGTAAAAGTAATGATGAAAAAATTATAGAAGTAGACTTAGGGTTGGGGTTTTTTCTGCATAATAAAGTCCTAGGTAATATTGAAGTGTTGTATAGTGTTTATTTACTAAAATAACTACTAGTAGGAAACCGTATTTTTCTAGCATTAGATTAAACTACAATGCATCTGTATAAAGATGGTGTTGGGCATATGGTGTAAGTCTTTATTAAGTAAATATCTATAGTATGGTTTCTCATTCTTTCATTAAATCTTTGTTAATTCTAACTTCTAACATAATGCCTTTTCATAAAATTGAAATTAATAGTGAACAGAAAATTACTAGGTCTCACAATTGGATTTTTAGCAGTACTCTGTTAACATAAAGAATTACTTTTAGGAGCAGATCTTGAAAACATTTGCATACATGAATTATTTGTATGCATTTGTTCCTCTGAACTCTCAAACTGCACATGTCAATGAAATATCTGTGTGCATACTGCTTGCCAGATATGTCTCTAACATCCAAAAGTCTAGTAAAGGCTTTAGTCTTGTGGGTTCAATTTTGGTAGCTGCTGTCAAACTTTGTGTGACTTGAGTATGACTAAACATTTCACATTGTCTGTTTCTATGTTCAGAGATATAATTTCTGTAATGTATATTATAACTTCCCCATAGTTTTCCGTAATGTGTATCACCAGAGATGTACTACTCCAGAAGTCTGTTCACATGGTCCAAAAGAAAAGAAAAGTAAGACTGATATTATATAGCATAAACCATCCATACAGCTATGGTTAAATGCCTGTCAATGTTTTCATTGCACATTCATATTTTCTGGGGTTTATATCTTGAACATAAAAATTTTCTCTGGATTTAAATATGTTACACAAGGTCTCAGATAAATGTATTTGTTCCTCAGAACTGGCTGGGGGGCAAAAATTAAATTTCATTTGTATCCAGCTATATTTTAAAAAATGCAAATATCATTGGATGAAAAACAGATTTTTAAATTTAGAACACAGTCTTACAAATACCTAATTTACTGCCTCCCAGCAGTTACGAGGAAGACTCTTGAAAAGAGTGGAAAATATTCACTATATGATCACAATAGTAAATAGCATGTGAAACCATTCATATATCATTATTATATAAATGTCTGTGTGTATGTTTGCCTTTTAGTCATATGATAGTAGAACACCACATTATCATAATAGAGCATAACATTATCATATTTTTGGCATGGCTTTAAAATCACTTTTAAAATTACGTATAGCTATCTTAATGGGAGTATATTTTATGTTGTACTGTATTTACAAATGTTCCATTTGTACAATAATATTCAGTCTAGAATGCCTTACTTAATGCATTTTAAGATCAAATTTATTAGTAGATATCTCTTTGGGTGTAATACTCTTAAAAATGCCTCATACTTGCCAAACTTGGGATCATAAAGAAGACAAGAAGCCTTCTGTTACGTTCCCTAGAGTTAGTTGTTTTGGTTTTGGGTTTTTTTTCTTTTTTTGGGGTTAGTGTTGTTTTTTGGGTTTTTTTTTTTTGGGGTTAGTGTTGTTTTTTGGGGTTTTTTTCTTTTTTTTGGGGTTAGTGTTGTTTTTTGGGGTTTTTTTTTGGGGGGGGGGGTTGGGGTTTTTTTTGTTTTTTTAAGTTTTTGTTCTGGTGGAGTTTTGTACTCTTCCTCATCTGCTCAGGAGACAGATGGTGCTTGTTCCTGGTCCACCTGGGTGGAGGCTCCTCAGTGATTCTTGCACTGAGAAGCACTGGGATGAAGAGACATTTCTTGTGCTCCCAGATCATGCACAAAGACAAGTCCCTTAATGCGTACCTTGATGGATCTTTTAAGGTTGTTTTCATTCCCTTCCTGCTCACAAAGGATCCACCACAAACCATTTCCACCCTTCTTGCTGGAATGTTTTAATTCTGGGAGTTCATAAATTTCCTGTGTTCCATTCCTGAACCTTCTGCAACTCAGGTTTGCGTGTTTTCTGCTTAGTTGGGTATGGAAAAGATGAATTTTCAGCAGGGTGTTTCTGGGTTTTAAAGTTCCTCTTGAAAAGTTACCTTTTTTAGTTATTGGAGTGTCTAACAGGAGGACTAAGAAGTCCTTTAAGGACTGCCTTCACTTTTTCCCCTTCAATTAAAAGAAACTCCTGGCTTTGTCTTTTCTCTGAGGAGCATGTGATGAAGGTTTCAGAGAAGAATGTGATGTAAAGGAGAGACGACAGCACACACAAAGAAAGGAGATTTTCTATATTGCTGAGCTGAGGGAGGACAAGCAAGAAAACATGCAAGAAGTGAATGTGAGCCCTGAAGTCAGTCAGAGTGTGTTGGGAAACAATGGAGGGGATGATCACTTAGGGAATTTATGAGCTTGGAATTTGATGGAACCTTAAATGTCCACCTAGAGTGTGGACTGGGAATCAGGCACTAGAGGCTCAAACATTGCCATACCTGAGCTGCTAGCTTAACCATAGGTTGCTACAGCACAGACCATGATCTAGGGGTAAATGAGTAGAGATGAGTCATGCCCCAGAGAATGCTAAGAAGGGGGAAACTGTTCTTAGTTACAAGCTAAATATGTATCACAGTCTGTGATTTCCTTCAAAAGAAGCTGTGTTGGGTAGGGATGCATGGCTAGGGTACAAAGGTGCCCTCTGCTCTGTCTGGAGAAGAGGTTCTTGTGGGACGGGAGGTGCTGGCAGCCCAGGTCTGGTGCTGGCAGCTTTGTGCATTGTGGGTAAGAACTCCCCCATCAATGCTCAGGCCCAGGTCAGGGAGTCCCAAGGAGAGCAGAGCAGGGAAAGGTTTGACCAAATCCTCTTGAAGCCTTTTACAGGACTTGACCCCATCTTCTCGACCCATAAGGCATGGCTGAATTTTAACTAAACATAAGGAAATACAGAAGGCCCATTAGGGAATGAAGTTGGCAGTTACAACCCCTTTTGACTGTTCTTTTACCTTTAGTCCTGAAGCAGATTGAGAGGGGAGTGAGCTACAGTGTTTTCTGTGCTGGTCATAGCAGAGCATGAACTGGAGCAGAGTGTCACAGCAGTTCCTGTCTTCATGCTAAGTATGTCCCTCAGTGCTTGGAGAAGTGGGATGAAAGGCCATAGAGCAGGCAGTGCTTTTGCAGAAGTGTTCCTTACCCTCCACAGCTGGAGACAGGTCAAGTTTTTCAGGGAGTTAGATCTGGGCTGTTATGGAGAACTGGAGGGGAGGAAAGACTTTCCCCCAGCTCTCTCCTTTCCTCCACCCCCATTCCAAGTACAGATTGCAGCACCTTGAGTCTTGAAATCCAGTGCTCATTTCACAGGCCACACATCACTATTGTGGAGGAAGCAGCAGGAGGATTTAGCAACAACCTGAATGCCAAAATAAGCTACACACTACTGCTGGAAAATGCTGACTTTTTAATTGTTTCTGCTGCAGGGTTAAACCTTTATTAAAGCTATGTGAATAAACTTATTTTGATGACTTACTGAAATATTTTAAATGCAAAAGGTAGCATAAAACACTCTTACTAAATTCACCTTGATCCCACTGTTAATAAAATGCTTTTCCATATGTTGGCACCCTTTTATTGATTCTGTCAGAAATCTACGGACCAGATAAAGAGTGTTCAGTGTCTCTGTCTTTCTTGTTTTTAATTTAAACAAATGTAGTGCCTGTGAAAGGTGCTAGGATAATATCAGCAAAAGAAAAGTGTCTTTATCTGTTGGGGGGAGAGGAAGAGAAATCCATCATTATAAATATCCCCCCTCCACTGCTGTACCAATAGATCTTGATCTTGTCTTGCCTGGTTTGCATCCAAGAGTAAGGCAAATAGGTCAGCTGCCCTGTGCACTCTGTCTTTGGCCATCTCAGCAGAAACGATAACAAATGTGGCAGTTTATAACATAATGAGCTTTTGCTCCACTTAATTGAAGGTTCTTCTATTCACCAACCTCTGCTGAGCAGCCACATGCTGTTGTTGCTTCAACACTAGTGAAGATGACAGCTCAAAAAGCTCCAGAGGAAGCTGCCTTCATCTCCACCAGCTAATGCAGGGTGGTGGTGGATTCCTCTCAGTAGTTATAATTTGGAAAGGTTGTGAGACCAAGATCGTGTCTGGTAGTAACATTTATTTCATTGATGTCAGACATGGAAGTAAAGTAGACATGCCTGGAGAGGACAAAAGGAGCTGATTTTCTTTCCCCCTTTCCCACTATGCAAAACACTTCAGTCTTTTGTTAAATGCTTTTCACATTCACAGGGAGGAGAGGCAGCTTCAGATTTCTTTTCCAGGGAATGGCCCTTTGGCTTGCATGGCTGCCTTAGTGTAACTTGCTGCAAGCAGGTTTGCAGACCTGTGGAAACAACAGATGCTGCCTAAATGGGCCTGCCTGCTGGGATCCTAGTATCACTTTCTGTGGAGAGAAAACAAGTGCATAGAGATGCATGAGCTGGCAGTTTGGAGATTTTTAATTTTTTTTTTTAATTAAACAAGAGCTGTGCTGATGACCAGGTGAAAAAAAAAAAAAAGAGACAGCCCTGTTACTTGATTGTATGGGAAGTTTGCAAGTTTGCAGGGAAGGGGCTTGCCCTTCCCTTGTGACCATCTGACCCTCCTGGTGTTAAGCAAATAATTTTTTTTAAAGACAGTTAGAAAAAAATTTTTTTAAATTAAACAAGAGCTATGCTGATGACCAGGTGGAAAAAAAAAAAGTGACAGCTCTGTTACTTGATTGTATGGGAAGTTTGCAAGTTTGCAGGGAAGGGGCTTGCCCTTCCCTTGTGACCATCTGACCCTCCTGGTGTTAAGCAAATAATTTTTTTTAAAGACAGTTAGTTTTTGGGTGGTGTTCTTTTTAGATAGAACCTGGAATTTGACCCAAAATTCAAACTGCTGTTCTGGTACCTGGCTTTTGGATTTTCAACGCACAATATAGTGGAAATGGTCTTCGCTCCATTACTTCTAATGCTTGCATGAAACTGCAAATGGTATTTCAACAGCAGGTGGGAGTTAGCTACCTACAGCAAGAAAGCAAAGGAAGCACAGATCTGTTTTTCAATGTGTAAAACATTTACAGGGGTTTTTTAAAGATGAAGTTTGAGTTTTACTTAAACCTGACCTCCAAACATTTCAGAGGCAGTTCTGAAACTGAAGTTTCTGTTTCTTTTGCTACATTTATCCTAGTCACCAGCAGGCTAAGGTAATTTGAAATGGCTCGTGAGGGGATTATAAAAAGAACTATCATGTCAAATACAGATTTTATAAAACTGTGTTTTCCCAATACAAGCCAATAGAACTGTTTGCAATGTAACCATTCTCAAGAGTTGTTCTTTTTTAAGTTCCTGGCTTGTTTGCAGTGAGAGAACACTGCAGCCTTCTCCCAAGGCTGAAGACTAGAGAATGCAGAGAAGAAATTAAATAGAAATTAAAATATGTGAGAGAGAATTATGAGTTTGCCTTTTCTTAATCAGACTGTGAGGCAAAACTGGCAACAAGAGGCATAAACTGTGAAATGAAATCTGAAGTAATAAGAAATGAGGGATTCCACTTTTAAAAATACTAAGTGTTAGCAATAGCATATGTAAGGATATTTATTTAAAGAATTGTATGCAAATATTTTTTAACTTTGTGGAATTCCTTTTAATATCAGTTTGAGGTAATTTACCATCACTTTACCGAGGTCTGACTCGCTCATAATGGGACAGACTTAAAGATGGGGAAGCAAAAAGATGTATACTTAGAGTCAGATCCTATAATCTCATGTACAGTCATAGACCCTTAAGTAGCTATGCATTTTCTGAACTGTCTGCCTACACAGATCACATGGCAGGATTGGGGCTGGGGTGAGATATGAAAACCAAAAGGTACTGTAAGGCCCCTAAAAAACTGCTTGGTTATAGTAAAAGAAATAGCACTGAAAACTAGAAGTCCGATTTATCATATGGCTGTGCTCTGCTGGAGCATTTGATCTTGCTGTATTTAGTTCAGGAAGTCTGAGTGGTATGTGCTCAGTGCATGACCATAATGTCCATTAATGCTAGTGGAATATAAGCATAGATAGAAGAGGGAAAATGTATGTTGTGTCTTCCATGCAGTTGAAATATTGAGTTAATTTCAGTGATGGGAAGCAACAAAACTCAAGAGAAAATTGTTAGAATGGTTCAAAAGTATGTTTGATATAGGAAACCTATCAGGCAAAATGCCACCATATTTCAGGGCATGTCAGACACTAATCACCAACCTCTGGTGTGTTGGAACAGGTGAGGGACTGAGTTGAGGAGTAATGGTCTGCTAACTTGGAGATGTCTGTCTGAACATATCTTGTTGCTGGTTTTCTTGTGATTGCTTTTAAGGAAGGAATGTTATGAACCACAGCTTTGAAAAGTCAGTTGGAAATTATATGTGAGGTGAGATGCTTAATGTCTTCATTGTCAGGTCAACACCCAGAAAATACTTTCTGTTCACTTAATTTGTACAGCAGACTATAGAGCTGAACCCTGAAATGCCCATAGTCTGCAGGTGAATAGTAAATGGCAGCATGCACTGCCTTGCTTTTCAGAAAAAAACCACCCATTCCTAAACACAAGAATACTGTGAAGTCTCCAAGAAGGGTTTCTGTTGATGTCTGCTTCACCCTCCTCAGCCTTTTTTTTTTTCATGAAGATTTGTGAGGCTGGTCTTTTCCTCACAAAGCCTTCCATCCTGCTCCAGGATCATAAGTCCCTTTAGCACTGATACAGCCGCTGCCAGAGGACTGAAGGAGCTGCCTGCACACTGCTCTTCTTAGGAGTGCCAACCCCAAAGAAGGCACCATGGGGTGCTGATTAGAGAGATTTAATCTGGCCTCCTATCCTGCAGTGGATCAAAGGGGATTTCGTCTGCCTTTGCAGGGAGTTCACCTCTTAACAGCTGCATCTAACTGGAGTTCAGAGCATAGCTGTCCTGGGCTTTTCTAAAAATCATTGCTGAGAGCACCATCTCCAAGGAACAAGAGTGCTAATATAGATCCTATGAATCCAGGTTCTCTTATGCTCATACTGCATTGAATTTAGCCTCACCTTTAATCAGTAACCACACTGATATAATGCTGTTTGTAGAACTGATGACCTTTTCTCTCATTTGCCTCAAACGCTATGATTTGCTAGTGAACTCTAAGCCTGCCTTTATGGCTGAGCTGCAGAAGCATTTTGTTGCCTGTATGGACCCTTCCCAGAGCCCACACCTCATCCCATCTATGGAGAAATAGATGTAGGAAGGTGGTCAGCCTGCCTGTTTATTCTCTAGTTTAATAATTAGCTCGATAACAGTTCCATTACTAGTGGCAGTTTTTCTTATATTGGGCATCTTTGTGTAGCTTTATGTTGTCCCTTCCCAGGATACAAACAGTTGCCTTGAATGTGACAGTCATCTCATGTCATAAAGGAACAGCTGCAAAACCAGAAGCAAACACTCTTACCAAAAAATATGCACTTTTATCCCTTTTGCATGTAATTTTTTTCCTAACTGAAGGAATATATTCCTAGAATCAAATCTATTAGTTTCTGCAATTAATTGCATTTTTATAGGAGCTTGTAGGCTATCCCCATTTCAGATAAAATACCCTTATATCCTCTGCAGTCAGGGATGAGTCTTGCTTTACCTCATTGCCTCTACAGCAATAGGGAAATAGTGTGATTCATATATTGAGCTATCTGTTTGTTGCCAGCAGTTAAATAGTAAGTACAATTAATTGAATAGGGCCATTCTTGAATGCTGAAGGCTGGACCAAGAGATTTCCTTTATAATTTATAGTGCAACTTTTTGTTGATCAATACTCAAATTACAAACTTGAAGAATCCTTTATTGGGGTCAGTTGCATTTCACCCCAGTGTAGTTTGGCAAAATTCCCCTGCAGACATAAATAATTGTATTACAAAACATATGGTTAATTATTGAAACAAGGCATACAAAAGATTTTTAACATGCTTCCTACTTCTGAACATTGTTGTGGATCATGTGGCATCTAGAAATTTTTTTATGCATATAGTGAACCCACAGATTGGAGAACATTAAATTTGTAAACAAGATGAAAAATTATTTAAGGAATGTAAAGGGGGCATACTGACAATTTTACAAAACACTCAGTATTTTCTCTTTGTTCAAAGTGAAGTTATGCTTAGTTTGCCTTGTTGTAGCAGCAGCAGCAGTTAAGTAGCAAATAGAATTTATTTTTTTTTATTATTGTAGATATTTTAAAAATTGAAGAGATGTTGGTTCGTAAGATTCTTTGTTGCTCTCTAGACTACTTTTTAAAACTGAAATTGTAGAGAAAAGATTGTTTCTCAAACAGTTTCTTTCTGAGCTGCGTAATGCAAGATAACAATAGCTATTTATATAATGCATATGCTTCCTTTCCCTGTTACTTTGAAAGACTTATTAGTCCTCGAGTCCTGCACGTTTGGAGAATAAAAACCTCCAAAGTTTGACATCCTTAAATAAGCAACCAAATGTTATAAAGAACAAACCTCACTTACAGTTAGGAAACAATATTTACATTTAAGGTTGAAAAGCCAGGATGTAGGAAAATTTTGCTAATTTGGAAGGTGACCTTTAAGTGCACCAAAACCAAATAATTTGTAAGCTATGGCACAGGGCACATTCCTGCAAAATTTGTGTGAATACTGCTTTAGTGGTTCTTGAAAGACAAACAAAGAGACCTGGAATGAAATCTTTATCCCTCTCCCAAATAAGATTGCAGCTAACAAAGGCATACAGCAGCGCTCTTTCAAAGCTTGCCATTAAAACGAAGACTCTGCAGCACAGCTAATGAGATGGGTCAGAGTGGAAAACAATCTGTTTTTAAGAATGTTTAGATCAAAAGTAATTTCTAATCTATGAAATAAAGTCTCTTTTCAATACTTTTCTTTCACTAGTAAAGCTTTTTATGTTTGCACTATTTACTTCAATCAGATGTTTTCAATTTTACTTTTTTCTTCCTGAAAATACTTCCTAGGGTTAGTCGGTAGTGACCAACAGCATTATTCTTTTTCACTCTCCCCTATTCACCCACCCCCACACATTAAAAAATTGAGAAAAGAAGAGGGGGAGGAAGAAAGAAACATCTTTTCTTAAATGATTTGCAAGCATCTGTGCTCTAAGCTACTTTTTATGAACGCTCCTTAGTAATGACTCAAGGTAAAAAAGCAGAAAAGCATCCAATGTTAGGAAATTGCAATCCAATACCATGTAATTTAAACCTGCCATTGCCCCTCCTGTACTAAATGACATACAGATGGGTAGCTCTGTTGCCTCTACTTTGGGAACACAATTGGTCTTTTTATGAGTGTATATACATTTCTAGCAAAAAATATTTTTGTCGGGAGTGTTTATTTCTTATTGTACCGTATTTTACTTACTGTCATAATTAGGGTGCTTTTTCCCTGCTGTATTTTGTCAGCTAATTTTTGCCAGTGCTTATCAAAGTTACCTGAATATTTTTGCAGTTTATGTTGTTACTTTGGAAATTTTCATTCCCAAAAGTAACCTCATGATTATTTTTTGCTTTCCCAATGTGGATTTTTGCACTATAGAAATGTCAATTTTTTTACAGTAATTCTTATGTACTCCTTGGATTTTCTGTGTGAACTAAGCAAAGTGTTAAGATTAGATTTTCAGAGGAGGGTAATTTCAACTGCAACCTCCTTTGCAACAAATTTTGCAACAAGTTTATTGTTGAACCTTGTACAACTTTGTGCATAAAGAAATTACTTACTCCTCAGGACTCCTACTCTAGTGCTTCAACAGTGAAAAAAGAAAAAAGCTACATTATAAAGGATGAGGATGCAACTAGAAATTAAATCAACCTTACTGTAATTCTGAAGGCTAGAATTGTTTTTCAGCTACTTTTAAGGGTATTGAAATTGCCAGATGTTGTGGCTAAACATCATATGCCCATTACCATAAGTCTCCAATATAGATGTCTTGTAAAGAATGTTTCAGCTGTAGTTGGGATTTTTGCAGATCTTTTTTAATGGTCGAAAAATGGTACTTTCTTGTGAATGATTGTGTGCGCAACAATTTAGTGTATAACACACCAAAGGGCTTTGGCTGTAGCACATTGTCACTGCTCCAGTGGAATCACCTGGCTCTCTATAAAAATTCTTTTCTATACTTATATTTGAATAAATAATCAGCTGCAGTTCAGCTGAGCCATTCTTTGTGCATTAGGGACCAGCCTGGTCATTGACAAGTGAATGCAGAAGCTATACTGTGGCTGTCTGCCAAAGCAATTATTCAGGATTTAAGCTAAAAAGGCTCCCTCTCCCATATCCTCTCCTTTTGCAGGGTCATGTAGGGATAAAAAGGACTGTAAGGTGGTCTTTTCCCAGGAGGAGCTGAGGAAGCGGCTGACACCCCTGCAGTACCATGTCACTCAGGAGAAGGGGACTGAAAGGTAAGGCAGGATGAAGGAAACTCTGATCTAAAAACACAGGCATCTTTCTTTTCCACCCCTCCTCTTACTGCTGTTTGCTCACCTTCCCTACCAAGTTTTGCTGGTTGTTTTCTTCTTCCAGGATTTCTGCACTTGTTTACTAACCCCTACAAATTAACACTACTGCAAAGACAAGAATCTGCAACAGGGGGCCAGGGCCAAGGGTCTTGTGTGACTTTTTCTTTTAATGAACACTGCATGTCTTATAAAGTCACCAGGCTCATATTTAGAGTCTGTTTTTAGTTTACTACAAAACGTGTGGAAGTAATAGTGGTTTAGGTACACTTTTTTTGGAAGACACTGCAGTAAGCAGAACCACGAGGGAAATGGCCCTGTGCCAGGAGGCTGGAGTTTTGAAGGTGGCCATTGTAAGCATAGACGTTTTGGCTGCAGAAAGAAGGTAGCATAATTTAGTTCTTTTCCACCCCACTCCAATTTCTTTTTGAAGCACATGTGGAGAAGGTATTTATTGGCTCATTTGTGGTTGGAATGTCAAAAATTTTCAATAACTGCCCTCACATGGCTTTAGTCGCTGGAACCCAGCCTCAAGTCCTGGAGGGGAAAAAAAAGGACAGACTTCCAAGATTTGTTTTTAGTGAATAAAGTCTCTCTCTCTCAGCTGATTCCAGCCAAAGGTAACTTGCCAAGACCCAGCCATTTTTTGTTGTCTAATTTATACCACTGAGCTTGGCGTAAGGCCCTGGCTTTACCTCTCCTCTAAACGTACTAATGATGTAACTGCTTGTTTTCATTCATGAGCTGAAAGGACTCCCTGCTGCACGTGGGGTCCTGGTTAATAGGCAAACCTCTTCCTGACAGCGCTGAATTTGGTGGCTGAACGTGCCAGAGAGGCTGGTGGGGACAGTCCCCCTCTCCTCCCCAGCCGTCTCCATCCTGCTGCAGCCCTGGCAGGGCATGGGGACAGTTGCCTTTGCTGGGAGACCTGTCCTGCCTTCCCCCAGCCCTCCACGCTCTTGTGTACGGGACCAACAACGTGATTTAATGCACACAAACAATCGGAGATTAGGTCATTCTTAAAAATCCTGTTTATAAAAAAAATTGGACCTCATAAAAAGGGTGAAAGGATAATAAAAACAAGCTGCTGAGCACATAGGCTTTTTGTTGGGCTAGCGCAGCTGATTCGTATTAGGTGAATGACCTCCTAGCCTTTTAGATTGTTAACTTAGAAAAATATTCCCTTAAAGCTGGAATATTGCTTTTCAACTGAAAATATAAGGCGCGCACAGCTTGAAATCCTGGACCAATTATTTCATTTTCAGCTACAATGTCTGTGCCACACGGGCAGCCGGTGCTGGCCTGACCCAGCGCCACGGCTCTGCAGCGCCCGGGCGGCCTCACACCTCGCTCCACTGCGGCCGCCGAGCCCTGCGCGCCGCCAGATGTGGACACCGCGAGGTGCAGCAGGTTGAGCTACGTGCCAAACAATCCGTGTTTACAAAACTTGACATTTCACTTGCCAGATAGGGGAAGACTTCTGTTTTATCCTTTTTGGTTTTGTTGTAGTTCCAGCCTTTGAACTGTGGCACAATTTGCTTCCTTTTGCATGATGCGTAACATCCGAGGCACACTAACGAGGACATTCCCCTTTTCCTGTGCCTGCTTTATTTGCTACCTTTAATAAAAAACAGCTGCCAACTTAGAAATCGTGGGCTTCTTCTATAACATTTTTCTAAACACTCAGCTACTTAAAAAATTTAAAAAAACTGAATTCCTTTATTTAATTTTAAAATATAGTATTGTTGTTTTCCCAGTGCCTTTGAGGGGGAGTACACACACCATAAAGCTCAAGGAATATACAAATGTGTTGTTTGTGGAACTCCTTTATTCAAGTGAGTATGCTAAATATAGTTTTGAGATTTCTGTCTCTTAGGTTATGTACTATCTTGTATATGTTTAAAACGTAATTGTATAAGGTCATTTCATAGAATCACAGAATGGTGAAGTCATTCCATGTTTTAAGGAACACAAGAGAAGCAATGTAAATACAATGTAAATAATTCTGTAGTAAAATTAATCTCATAGCAAATATAAAAACTTAGGATAAATAAGATAGGAAGATGACATTCAGGTAAAAGAGGAAGTATGGCAGGAAAAAAATATTACTTTAATTTTTTTTTCTGTATGCCAGTAATTGTAACAGTCTTTCACTGTGTCAACCAATACTGAGGTTTGACTGTTAGAATTACTTACAGGTAGATTTAAGAGATACCCGGTGGCAATGCTGAATTTTACATGTAGCATTTTAGCTGATAATGGAGAAAAAGGTGGATGCTTTTTTCTTAGAATTCAAGCAGTTAAGAAAACAAAACTGAGTAAAATTTCATTACTTACTGAATTTCCATTCATCCCAATTAGCACACACGGAGGGCTGGTTTAAAAATACACTTTAGAAGTACTGTGGGAATTATGGCCCTAAGTTTGATGCTAGAAGCAGTGCTGATTGAATTCCTTTGATCACTGCACTGTTCTCCACAGACTCAGTTGTTGTTTATGTGCTTTTTCTTATTTCTGGCTGCTTGTGTTCATTCTGATGAAGAATTTAATTTTTTTTCTTTTTTTTCCCCCTCAGTTCACTCTAATTTAGTCCCTCACACTTAAAGAGGTACCTTTACAAGAGCATGAAGCAGGATGGTCAGGATAGCACTAATAATACAGAATATTGTGCCAGTAATAGGTTAAAGAAAAATACAATTGATGTAGCTCTAGAATCACCAGATGTGGTAGTGATAGTTGTCCTCAAGAGACTGTTAAATGAAAGAAGCACCTCATCTCTGTAATGTTTGATTCCTCTGTCAGAAGAATTACCTACAGGAACTGGTAATAAGTGAATCTTTTGAAAATCTGATGGTTACAGACACAGCCAAGTCAACAGTCTCATGTCAAGTGTTACTATGGTCCTTGGCTTGAGGGTGCAAAATGGGGATCCAAACTCTCCATAACCTGTTTTTCTACTCTGCCACTTAGACATTCCACTGCTCACTATAGCTAAATCTTTTGCGGGGAGATCCTGGCTCTGTTGAAGCAAATTCATATTTAGCAAACGAATACAATGGAGTCAGGATTTCACCTTCTATCTTCAAGACTGTCTTCCTTTCTATCATCTGATGGAGAAAGAGTAGGGGGGTTTTGATGGGTGAGTTTTGGACAGCAGTAGTATACATAAATTAATGTGAACTAGTTTCCAGTTTCCAGTTGCCTTCAAAATAGTTTCACAATGGGAAAAAACTGCAATATGAGACTTATCTGTGATTATCTCAAGTGCACAGTATGGTCTGGCATAGTCTTGAGTTAACGAGTTGGGTTTCTCTTTTTAAAATGAGCTATAAGGAAATGTCTCTGTTTTCAGAATCTCTTTGAGACTCCTGTGGATTTTATGGGAGGAGAGAAAGAGGGGAGTTATTTTTTAATTTTAATAATTCCCAGGCTAGTGGGCACGTGAAGAAAACAGGTGAAAACCTCACCTATTGTGTACTGAGATTAGACTGGCCTTAACTCAGTCCCCCAAAGTCTTTGTGTTGCCTTATGAACTCTTGCTACCTCTGGCCTACATCTAATTCTGCCAGTTTTTCTGAAGTGGCTGACAACAGTGGGAAAAAATGCAGAAGCCAGTAGGAGTCCATCTTCTTTTGTTTATTGACCTCAAAATATCAGTATATGATGTCTTCCTCATCCAGGGAATATAGATTTCTGAATCTTGGTCACTGAATCAGCCCAGACAGCTAAAAAGAAGTGAGAAGGAAACATAGATAAGAAAATGAAAAATATGTGCTTCTTACTACATTTTTGCCAAAAATGTAAATTACAAAATGTAAATTACTGAAGTATTTCCTTAGGAGTAAGATGGGAGTACCATACAAAGAAAGTCTATTTCACCTTTAAAATATGAGTACTTTTTGTGATGGCATGGGATTTTTTTTTGGTGGTTTCTTTTTGTAATTTCCAAATAATCATCAGAAACTTGCATTTACATTTGTTTCTCATTGCTGTCTATTAATTTTTTTGTCTTTATGTCTTTGTAATCTGTAAATATATATATTTGGACTATGGACCATCAGTTTAACTAGGAAAGAGACTGGAGCTTCAGCAGTAATATTAACAAACTTCAACTTTTAACATTTCTGATTTACGTTGTTTCATTACCATGTGACACACGAGGTCAGGGAACATATGAATTTTACACTCCAGATGAAAGACCTGTTTTTTGGTAAGTCTTTAAAATAGAACTTTGTCTCTATCACATGGAAGATAAAAGAAACAATTAGGAATGTCACATCTCTTCATCTACCTACTTGTGCTAGTGTTATGAGAAACCTCCCAAGTTTTATGGAGGACATGCTTTAAGTTTTTCCACAATCAAAGGTGCCTCACACATAAAATGCATAATCATGCTCTTGAATCTTATTATTCCATCTCTGAACTTTCACGCCATGCAGTCTCGTACATCCCAGTACAGCTGCCTAAAAAAGCAATAAATGAGAGAGCCAATAAACTAATCTCGAGAATGTCCTTTCCTGCAAGCCAGTCCTTATGCAGTTTTGCGTTACATTTACTCCAATCTAGTTGCAGGCTTATGCTAAAAGAAGGAGCCCTGCTGTCCTCACCTTTCTCTAGGGTGTTTTTTCATGGCTTTCTGTTCACTGGATCTCACCTGCTGTGGCTGGAGCATGTCTCAGTGCAGAACTTGGATCTGATAGACAACTAATAATCCAAAGAAAAAGTCCTTATACTTATCAACCATACCCGCTTGTGTTAATTTTTTATGAGCCACATTTACCATGGCTGGACGGTCTTCACAGCAAGGCTGTGTTTTTCTCTATCAGTTCACAAAGAGCCACCTATGCCACCCAAATCCTTAGTGTTTTCTAAGGCCAACTGTATTTGCAAGGTTGTGCCTACTTTAATTGTTCAAGGCACTTTCTTATACATTACTCAAAAATCCATTCTGTCCATAGCCATGGAAACAGAAGGTTAAAATGGACCTGAGTGAAATCCATGACTCATGCTACTACCATAGGAGACAATCTATTCCATATTTAATAAACCATGATCATGTCCTTTACCATATGCAGGACTTTGAGAAAGATGTGATATAGATGGAAACTGGGAAGCCTGGGAGAATTATTTCCTTTTAAAAAAATAAATATTATTGTTTTGTCAGTTTTCAATTTTTAGGGCCAAAAGCTAAATTTCCAAGTTTTCATAAAACCACCCCCGCTGCCCTTATTACTTCCTGGAAGGAATTATTGGTAATGGTGTTGAACATGTACTAGCAGACATAGCAGCAGCCTTATCCATGTTATGTTTTCATTTGGTTTTTGTTGAGCTGTGTCAGGTGTTTTCAACATCTCTCAGACATCCAATCAAGAGAAAACGAAAGAGTGGCTGGGCAATGTTATTGTACCATTAACATAGTACCACTCTTGCCTTTGCAAGACAAGGAAGGATTTCAGTCATCAGGCTAGATCTCTACAAGGAATTTCCTTGCACCAGTGCTGCATGCTTAATGAATGGTCTTTAAGCTTTCTTACTGATCTTCATATTCGTTGAGGAAGTCATATAAAAAAATCAGCACTGTTTATCTATCTAGGAGAGCCCATATGACATCAATGATATGGTTTCTCTAGTAAGATCCAAGAGAACTACTTGAGCAACTTCATCTGTCCTCACTGTGTCTTAGTTTCCTTAGAAGACTGTCAAACTCAGCAGTTTCTACTTAATGACATTTGTTTGAAGTAAGTTGGTTGGTTCTCACCAGTGTAGGAATGTTATGTTATGTTTCTAAGTGCCACATCTACACACCTTTTAAATATTTCTGGCATGGTGACCCAAACACATCCCTGAGCAGTCTGTTCCAGTGCTTGACAATGCTTTCCATGAATAAATTTTACCAATGCTCAATCTAAATCTCGTTGGTATAACTTGAAGCCATTTCCTCTCATTGTGTTGCTTGTTACTTGGGAGAAGAGCTCAACACTCACCTGGCTATACTCTTCTTTCAGGTAGTTTTAGAGAGTGATAGGGCCTTCCCTCAGCATCCTTTTTGTGCTCCAGATCCTTCACCAGCATCCATATCCTTCTCTGGACACATTCCAGCATGTTCTTCTCTTAATTCTTCTTCCCATTCCCTTAATGTTCTTCTTGTTGCGTGCCCGAAACTGAACAGGAGATGCATCCTCACCGTGCTGAGTACACAAGATGATCCTTGCATAGATTCTGATTCTACCATCCTTGTATAGATGCTGATTCTAGTATGAATTTCATTGCTGTTTTCAGTATAAAAGTACAACATATTCTTTGTAAACTTTTATGTCTGATATATTTTTTCCCTTGTTTAAAATTTACTCTGCTTTGTATTTACTGTTCATCAGTCACTCTGCTTGGAAGAAGTAATTTTCAGCTGGTTTTAGCCTACTTTATGCTTTATTATGCACATGTATGTACCTCAAGTAAAAATCAGGTAGGGTGGATTGCTATGGACTATGACTGCAGAAGGTATGTATTTTTATAGTTATAGCTCTCACATTAAAGACATTCTGTCTCTCTGGGCTGAACTCACCCAGAGACTACTCTTTACCATCACTGGAGGTGATAGAAGACATGTAGATGTAGCACTTAGAAACACAGTTTAGTGGTGAACTTGGCAGAACTTGATTAATGGTTGGGCCTTTAATGATCTTAAATTATTGTCCAACCTAAATAATTCTCTGATGTTAAAATGCTCATTTTGAATTTGGCTTTTCATCAATATGCAGAACAGAATTTATCACATCATCTGTCAATAGTGAATTTTTTTTCTTTAACCAGGCTTATTAAGGAACTAATACAATGT